TGTCGACGCAAACACATCTTGATTAGCCCTCAGAAACCCCAAAAGCTCTGCTCGTTCTTCCGCTGAAAGTTTAGTGCCAACCTTAACTGTTCTTTCCAGAATGTCAGGGTTCAAAGGGACCGCTTCCACTGGTTCTACTGGCTCAGCCTTCTGCTTGACACCTTCAGATCGATGCTCAATATCTAATATGCTCATTGTCTATTGGTGGAGCTAAGTCGACTTGTGACTTTCAAAAGAGCCTCTTGGGGCTGCAACGAGCTCAACCTTCTTGAATGTATCTTGATAGCAGGTTCTGGCCATCTTTTGGTTCCCCTTAAGTACTCCTACCCCTTAAGGAGTTAGGAATTTCATACAGAGATGAGGTTGTGAGATGACAACCTTCAGCTCGCAGAGGGTGGTTCTTCCTAGTATGGCATTGAAAGCTGACTCCATTTTGACGACTAGAAAGTTAACTAAAGCCATCCTAAAGCGTGGTTCCGAGCCCACGTAGATGGGAAGAGTAATTACTCCTTCCACCGAGACGGGTTGGTTATCAAACCCATATATGCACCCTTCATACTTCTGCAATGAGCTCGGATTCAGCTGCATCTTCCGAAAGTAGCTCCAATACAGGAGATCTGGTGAACTACCAATATCAATAAAGACCTTGTTGACGTTATGATTGCCTATATGGACCGTTGCTACAAAAGGATCAACATGGGGCATCATAACGTCTAGTTCTTCCCCTTAGCTTTTGTAATCAGCTGGGCTGAATGTAATAGGTACATTTTCCCATTCTGCTTCTTCAAAGGGGCACTTTAGAGGCCTATTCTTGTTTACCGTCATGACTTGACGAGCATAAGCCTTACGACCTCGAGCACTTTGGCCTCCTGAATGCATACCACTAGAGATCATATTGATTGTGCCAGATGGTGGGGGAATCCTGCTGTATCCAACCCCTCTATGGTCCTTTTGATTCTATGTGGATGTTTTCTATCCTTGCCATCGCCTGTTGAATAGGCGTCCCCCGTATGTTTTGTTGGGCTCGAACGAGTATTGACTCGCTTGGTAAGGAATTGGATTGTTGCCAAGCTGGTATCCATGTGCCTGAGATCGGCCATACTCTTGCACGAAATGGGTCTAGGTGGGTTGCCAAACGTAAGGCTTCAGTACATACCCCTCCAATTTTCTGTTGCAAGCTAAGATTCAAGCTCGTCCTTTAGGCTTTGGCAGTCCTCCGTGTTATGGCTGTATCCACGGTGGTAGTTACAATACTTGCTTCTGTCAGCTCGTGAAAAATCATGGGTTTAGGGAGGGGATCTCTTGACCCAGTGTTGTATCTGCGCCAATATCTAGGACCTGGATGAGTTCAAGGGAATGTAACTGTCATATTTTGGATAGGATGGCGGTTTTCCTCTCTGCTCGCTAACTTTCTGTTTTTTCTTTTCGTTCCTCCCCTTAGGCTACCTAGGCTCTTTACCATGTCTGTCGTCAGCTCGTCTCTTAGAAGATTGAAAATCTTCGGATAGTATGAAACTTGTCGACCTGTCATTTACTTCATTCCACGACTTAGTGGATTCTCTAGCAGGTCGTCTAGAAACCGGCCAGGTTTAAGGCCATGCAACAAAGCAGATAAGCAAATGGTATCCGGGACATTATCAATGTCTAGAGTGGACTTATTAAACCGTTGCATATAGTCCCTTAAAGACTTTCCCTCCTTCTGATGAACTTGCATCAACTCAGTAGCGGTGTGCTTGATTTCTCTTTTACTCAGGAACTTGTTCGAAAACAAAGTGGCGAGCTCAGAATATGAGGCTATAGAATGTCTAGGTAACTTGTGGTACCATCTTCTAGCCATTGATTTCAAGGTCGCAAGGAAGACTTTACACATCATGGCGTCAGTGGCATTCTGGATCCTCATGATGGCTTGATAAGTATGCAAATGCTCATCCGGGTCTCCGAAGACATCGTATGTCTCCAAATGAGGAATCTTAAATCCCTCTTGATATGGTTCAGCCGTAATGGACAAGTTGAGGGGGGCACTATCCAAGTCAAGAGCCTGCTAGCGCGACCTGGGACTCTTTAGCTCGTCAATAGACTTTTGCACATCTTTGAGCTGTCTTTCGAGGTCAGTGTTTTTCTTTAGTAGTTCTTCATTATGCCTGGACGAGCTGGGTTCTGGGTTTAACTTCCCACTTCCCTTTGGTCTAGTCGGGACTACTACATTGCTTAGGGCCGGGGAGTTACGGGTTGCAACTACTGCTGCTGGCTGTTCACCCCTATTCAGCAAGGGAATTAAGGGGTCATCGGGGTTCAAGCGAGAGAGAATTTTTCTCATGGCTATCTCCAGAACTCTTGTTCTTTCTTCCAACTCGGATGTTCGAGCATATTTTACAGGTCTCTCCACAGGTTGTGTAGTATTATGCCTAGGATGCCTTCGTCTAGCTTCAGACGGGATGTGAAACTGTTCTTTAGGTTGGGTTGCATACCCTGTAGGTGTTCTTTCATCATCATCTGAAGTGTTGGACTGTTCTTGTTATGCACCGCCAACAAAGAGGTTTCTCGGAAGTGTTTGGAAGTCATTGAAATCACTTTCCAACACATGAGTGTTATCCTGGTTGTCCACATTGCCTCTTGAGGGGTGGCTTCCTATGAAAGTGTGCACCATTTTCAGTTCATGTCGATTAAGTCACAATGCTTTTTGTTCAGGTTCCCACAGACGGCGCTAAATGTTTGGGCAGCTTCGTGGTCCAACACTGTTGAAGTCCTCAGCTGCTTCTACACTTGAAATTCCCGAGGGTATTTCCTCAAGAAAAACACTTCGACACTCAAGTCAGCAATACTCAATATTCTAGAGAGAGATGCTCTCCAAGAGTAATTGCAGAGAGAGAGAGACGTAGAAAAGTTAATATCTTGCATGGAGATAGTTAGGGGTATTTATAGCTCCATATGCTGACATGAGTTCAGACATGTATTCATCCAATTGGTCCACGTGTTACTGTGCACATGGGCATGTCTCCTCATCTTGGGCCTGCTGCATGTGGCCCGAAGTGAGTGTTGGGCCTAATCCCAACAGCCATAAATTTTTATTATGAAAACAATATACCTACCAAAATCTTCCTTCTGAACATCACCAATAAATATTATGATTTCAAATAAGATGAATCAATATCCTTAAACAAGAGTTTAATTTAATTCATTGGTTTTTTATATCAATTTTTGAACTCATTAGAATTGAAATACGGAGCATGAATTTTCTGTCCACCCTTGAGTTTTTTCTCGAGATAAAGAAAAGAAGTTTGGTTGAATACCCTTTTTGGTCCCTTTACTATAGGGAAAAGCCCTTTTTTGGTCCCTGTACTGAAAAATCACATTTTTGGTCCTTACTGTTCACAAATCCGGCCCATTTTTAGTCCTTTCGTTAAATTTTGGTTGATGTGGCAGGTTAATTAACGAAAAAAATCATTTTGTTTTTTTATTAAATTACGTGGAAAATCCACGTGGCAAAAATTGATGACATGGTTAAATTTTTTATTTTTAATTACTGATTTACCTCTCAAAAATTGATGACATTTTAAAATTTTTTCTTTTAATTACTAATTTACCCTCTTCTTTCCTCCCCATCCTCTCCTTCCTCCGGCCTTTTCTTTTTTTTTTCTTTTTCTCCTTTTACCTCAGGCGAACCCAGGAGTCTGGGTTC